GACTGCTCGCTGCGAAGAAGTTGTTGACCTGGTATCCGAAGCTGGCGTAGTAGGCATGTTCCATGATAGCCATGAGCTGGATCGCATTGTACCCCAAGTACTTTATCCGAGGCAGCATGTTCTTCGTAAACTCTTTGTATGTCGCAACCCTGGTCTCGGGGGATGAAATACCCACATGGGCCTCATAGATGCGGAGGCTCTCCGGTTTCTTCGGGCGGGAATGTTTGAATTTGTACCGTTCAGACTCGGGAGGATTCCAGAACACGGACTCATAAATGGGGGACACTTCGAGGTCCTGGACCACACGCTTGACCCATGCAGGTATCCGGTAAATTCGCTCTCCGCTGGGAATGTCCATCGCGATCTAGACGGTGTGTAAGCAACAGGGGGCTCCGGATTGTGCTTATCACGAGCAATTACCTTGACCTTGCTATCATGCGGGATGGCTGGCATGCCGTCCTTTGACGGCACTGTTACTTCCCACACGCCAAAGCTGTCTTTTGTCATTGGATGCGCCGTTACATCCCACTTGTCTGCTCAACTCAGTATGCGCTCCACCGATCGCTACACTTATGGAGTGTGACTTACTGAAATCACCGACTAAGTAAGCTCGCACAGCATTGGGAGCCCACTCCCGATATGTGATGTCTCCATTGGCATTGACATTGAATCCAAATTTCTCGTAACCCTATGCAGAGAATGCAGTCCGTTAGCTCAGATATCAATTCCACCAGCGGACGATAGCTCCTTGAACACTAAAACATCCAAGGACAAAATTAGAGGTAGATATGAAGTATGCGAACCTTGCTAAACTTGTCTAGACCACCTTCATTTTCGTTGATTTTCTTGATCCAGCTTTCGACCAACCCGAATCTGTGTCGTAGAGCGTCGCGGAAAGGTTCCAGATAAGGATCCAACTGAATAACACCTGTAGAGTATGAGTTACCTGGCAGTAAACGGGTTTGATCCTGGCTAACCTGTGCCATCCGGAGGCGTTGATTGCGCGATGTTTGAAGCTTCAGTCGAAGCCATGGTTACAGAAGATAGCAGTGATAAGCTCTCTGCAGATGATGGAATGTCGCAAGAACCGTGACGAACGATATACTCAGCTCAACCAACAACGTCCAGTTCGAAAAGACTAGAAAAAGGACGGCGGCGAGAGATGAAGTAATTTGTTTTTTTACAAAATGAAGCGATTGCAAGGGACAGGGAGGAGGGAAACCTGCTTTTGTCCCTGAGCAAGCCCAAGCCCATTGCGGGGGAGGAGCATCTAGGCTAGCCTAAGGCAGAGATCGAAGGCCAAAGCTCCCAACACATGTGACATCACCGTTCTCAACCTTTCCTTTCTCTACTGACCGGACGCAAATCTTTCCTCGTCTCAACGCTTGGACGATCCCTGCAATTCGTTATTAAAGTCAATTGCCATCTGACTAATGAGGGACCATGCAATTGATTTGTCTACTTGGGTGGAACAAGCTGTTGCACGCACAACCTCCCCTTTCTGTTCCTTGCGGGCTGGTCTGGAGCTCCCCACTTTGCAGCTTGAACCGCCGGACCAGAGCCCTCCATGCCTATGGCCATGGCCCGCATCGAGAAAGGCATGCCATGATCTTAAGATCCAACTACAGTCTATGCACACATTCTGATGACTATGAATGTTGCTTCATGAGCTATTCTTTAATTAGCGCGCGCTCTTTGATTCGCGGATGGCCCTAGGAAACAAACTGACAGTCTCACTGACCCTGCGGTGGCTGGACGCTTTCATCTTCCAGATTTAAAACTAGTTGACAATTTAGTTAAACAGGTCAGAATGAAAATGTGTCAAGCTAATGGAATTTTGTCGAACAGAACACAACAGAAGCTCGTACGGTATGATTAGAATGTTGCACGAAAGGCTCGGGAAACTGCATGAAGCTCGAAACGTATCATCGAGCTCAAGATTTGGGATACAATACGATTTAGAGGCAGAATCATGCTGCACCCCCGGAGTGGTGGTGACCATGACGGTGTCTCGATGGTCGATTGCCGCCTGCGGGTACTGGGCCAGGAGTACCCGAAGGATCAGGACCAGCACTCTCAGGAGATGGCTGACCAGTTTCCTGTGAAGCACCCTGCACCACTTGCTCTGATGCAGCCGCAGGCGTCTCGATGCTCATGTCAACCGCGCGTGCCTTGGCAGCTTTGGTGGACCTCTTAGACATCAAAGCGCTGTGAGGAGTTGCACCGGGATAGAAAGTTGTGGGAATGGTCGGGATCGGAATTGACTTGGTGCTGCCGAAATCGGTCGTCAAATCCAAAGGCATCTTCGCCGCCGAATAGCCCGACGGAGCGCTGCTGACGGTGGTTGTGGTTACTGCATAAGAGGTGTGCTGAGATCCCGACTTTAGGCAGAATCCAGAACCGTAGGCACTCTGGCAAGAGTACCACTGCTTGCTACCGGTCTCGGTCCACATGGCAAAGTCTTCAATGAGGATGTTGTAGCAGGGCGCTTTGTGAGGACAGACGATCTTGATGGGCCCGCGTTGTGCGCCGTTTGCCTCGGTTCCCTTCCAATTCTTGACCGTGATGTTGCTCAGTTCGACACCATTTCCTGAGACGGCGCTCATGCTGCTCCAGTAGCTGTCGATATCCAACGAGTAAGCGTTGCCGTGACCTATGGCCGTCAGCTTGTTTGAACTCTGGATGGTAAAGGAAAGTGCTTCGGTGCTTACCGATGAAATTCTCGAGAACAACATTCGAAACAGTGCCACTGCCACCATTGCTCTTGATCATCATCATCTGGTTCGAGTTCCAGGTGTAGATGTTCTTGTAGGTGATGTCGCTGATATCCGTGTCTGCGCCAAGGGAGCCCATGCCGCAACCACCGCTCAGGTTACAGTAGATGTTCTCCACGAGGATATTCTTTGCAGGACTCTTAACTTTTGCGTTAGAATTAATCATAGTAGAAGATCCATGTCTCAAGAACATACCTTGACCGTTACACATTCGTCCTTGTTCGTCACCTCGACCTATCGATCAATCAGCCCCTGATCCAAAGCATCTTTGATCATATCCTACATCATGAATCCAAATGTTGGTGCTCCAGACATCGATACCATCCAGTCCGCCATGGTTGCCACCCCGGATGGCCATATTATAGACCTCCCCATTGGAGCAAGTGTCGATAGAGAAGTGAAAGGAGGGCGAATCGACGAGAATCAAGTCGTGAACCGAGAAGTCCGACACATCCCACAGTCGAAGTAGACGAGGACCACTCCAGTTGTTTTTAGCGTGGAACTCATAACCCAGGCCCTGCATGGCACCCGACGATGTGCTGCTGTAGAGCTCGAAGTCCTTGGAATGCTCAATCATGATCATGTTGCCGCCACCCGTACCCGTACGGTAGATGACACCGTCAATCTGCAGCGCCCATGCTTTACCATTTGCCAGCTTGACCCAGGTGGACATGGCATAGTTTCCGGCGGGGATATACACCAATCCACCCGACTTACAGGCCGCAAACGCCGCGGCCAGAGGGGGTCCCAGATCAGTCTTCTTGTCGGCTTTTGCTCCGTAGTCGAGGACATTGCATGTCTTCTTCGCCGCCTTTGCCGACGCTGAGGTCAGGGGTCCGACTGAGCCTGAGAGTGATGCAGCGACCAAGCTAGGTACCAGCCCTAGAAGGGAGAGCAAAGTAAAGGCGTGAAGACGCATTGTCGCTCAAAGCTTCTCAGAAGCGTAACGAAAGGAATCTGAGAGCATAAACGGCAACCAAAAACCTGAAGAGTATATCGGGCGTGCTTAACTACATTTATAGAGCTGACATGGCTGAAACGTTCCGACTCTAAGTCGGAGCTTACCTGGACTACGGCTCCTGGGTAATCTCCACATCTATAAGGAGAGACTCAGGGGAAGAGTGGATATATTGGAATCGAGGCTTGCGGTGGTTTCGCCTAGCAAATACGTCCAGGTTATTTCTTCCGGAAGAACTTCTCACCCTCGATGATTTCTCCACCGGTCAATTGGCGAAGCTTAGGTCTCGACGGAATATCTCCGAATGGGCTGAAACGGAAGAACAATTCTGAAACATCCTAACCAAGCCGGCCCGGCAATGACTCGTTCAGTCCACTCTATTCTTCAAAAGGGATGAAGAAAAAAGACGATCATATCAACTGGCAAAGTAATCAGCGGACGAGGCTTTGCTTCATAACCGGTAGATTGGCGTGTACTTCTTGTATAGTTGAGACATGAACATTAAAGGGCGACTGCCAGTGTTCATGAAGCGGACAAACGACCTCAAGACTCCAGTGTAGCTTTCTCAGAATGAGCAGACCCAGTCACATAGCCCAGCAATCCTCTTTCATCCGCTTCAATAAATTTGGCGGGCACACCGCTTCAGCCTTCACCGTTTTGTTGAGATGAGGATATTTCCGGATCAAGCAGTGAATGCATGCTCACTCTCCCTCTCTTTCACCATTCACTGCCTTTCTATCCAGCTGTTTCTCTTCTCCTTCTCCCTCTTTCCCTTTTTATTCTTCTTCTCTTTCTTCTCATCATCTTCATCGGAGCATGGTGCTCATACATTCGCTTGATATATCTATTCTAGAAGGAGATTGTCAAGAATCGGGCCTCGTCAGCCTCGTTATATATCTATGGACAGATCCTAAAGCATACTCCTCTTCTCGTCTTTACCGACCCAAGCTTCAGATCCAAGCGAATGGTTGAATGACATTTCATGTTTGCAGTATGACTTTCTGCGGTGAGCGGACACCTCGTCGCAATAAGAAGTTCGTTGCGAATAGTGTTCCTTTCAAAGAAAATCCACATCTCCCCTGAAAAGCAAAGGGGGCGAGGAAAACAAGTTTGTCAAACATTTCCTTTCTCAACTTCTTTGATGACCTGCAACAAAGGACTAACGGTCAGTAGGAGGAGATGGCCCATTATAAGTACCCTCTGATTCCCTGCGGAGACCGAGAAGAGCAGAAGAAGCATCGCTGCATACGGAGTACATTGTTCCAGGCATGCCGGTAGCGACCTCTATTAGCAAGGGGGATGATGCTAGGAAGGTAGGTCGAAACTCATATCCTTCCGAGTTGTGAAGATTGCTAAATACATCTAGGACGGAAGGATGGTACATATATATGCCAGTTGCCCCCTCCAAAGGAGAAGAAACGCGGCATTGTAACACGGCATATAGATAAGTTCCGCGACATTTCTACGCCTACATGGATGGCTTTATCTGCTACTTGGGAACCCTTGATGAACCCTGTAATATCCCAAGCCCAAACGCGCAGAACTGTCACAGCACTGGCGGAGTCGCAACCGTCCTTGGCCAGGATACCGTATCGTCCACTTTCTGGGCGCCCATACAAGTATGATCTCTAGAATATCTAGAATCAATGATCCGTGTTGCAAAGGAGAACTTCGTTACCTTCTTGGCCGATAGCAACTTTGCCTCTGCCGCTTCGACATATTCTCGGCAGGGGAACCAGCCTGGCTTTATTCTTCTCTGGCCGTTGGCAGGCACTATCTGATGCAAGACGGATTTCCTGTGAACGATTCTCAACGGCCATTCAGAATCACGTTCGAATTTCAAGAAGACGATCTACATGAAAAGATCAGACTTTGCAACCATTGCTCAGTACGTCAGCGCCTTCGGAGATAGGGTAGACGCGTGCGAGAGGCTTAAAACACCAATTACACCTTAGTGGCTACTCTTTTGATGCTGAAAACTGTCGAAAGAGCTGCAAGTACAAGTCGGACCGCAAGGGCAAGAGGGTGATGGAGCAGATGAACGGCTCCGGCGACGGCGATAGCAGCAACCACGGTGGCAGTGGTCGTAGCCCTGGCTCTCACGACGACGACGAAAAGGTTGACGACGACAAGGACATTGATGATACGCGCGACCCCGTTTACCGGGCAGACCCGACCCCAGAGGAAGTCACGGCGGCACAGGCGATCCTGCTGAAGGTGTATCGGAACGCTTAAGACCCGAAGACGAGAACGAGCGCGCGATTGAACTACTGGCCAATATGCAGGAGGCAGGCGCTGTGCACGAGGTAGCTTTTCGTCGTCGTTGCTAAAATATAGGCAGACAGATGAGATAGCCGTCGCTTCCGTGGCCCGTCTTCTCGCGTGGTGGCTTCGCACACTGCATTGCCGCGCCTGCCCCGGGGACTAAGAGACTTTGCGGGCCAGCTGGCGAATGACTCTTCCGAGGATAATGAAGAGAATGATTCAGGCTCCTGTGCGCTGCCCTGTCCCCTGAGGCACTGAATTCATGAATGCCACCCATGAGACAACCATGGAAACCGCAGCCTTGCTTGACAAAGATAAATCCCCAGCGCCTTTTAAAAGCCCGAGTCATTGGTTACAAAAGCCTGCCTGTCAGCGATGCATATCAAAAGGGCTTAATTGCCAATTTCCACTGGGGCACATTGCTATGCCTGAGAAAAATGCCACTGGCACAGCTAACAATGCAGCAAAAGATGATACCCCATTTCCTGATATACAGGAATCTGCAGTCACCACTGCATATCCAGAACCTGTGTCTATGACTGAATCTGGTCCGGCTGCGGCGTTCCAGTCTCCTCGCCCACCAGTTCAAGCTGTGACCAGCAGTCGCCAGACTGAGTTTATCGACCTCCTACGGAGAGTCTGTCCGAGATTAAGCGAAACAGCTTCCGTACTAACGCAGACGTGGGCTGGTACTGGTACAACCGAATCAGTTACCAGCCCCACTGTTATTGCCGACACTTACCAGAGGTTACAGGAACTACGGAACTTCCTCACAGATGAGAACCATGGAGCCAATGTTGCATAGACGTCTAGCCATGTTGTGCTCATTGTCGGATGAGAAATGCAGACATGCACGCCCCTGTCAAGCCGGGACTTCTGTAAACTGGAATTAGGAAATTATGCATGAGGTCGTACCATTGCCCAGGCGACTGGTTTGAGTCGATAGTGTTCATTAGGAGAGGGCACTTGCCCGCCTGCTGAGGCCATCCTCGAGGGTGTGGGCCAGTCATCGAAAGTAACAAGAGGCACGATCAGACGCAGGATATCTTGGAGATAACCTGCGGCACTTTTATGAAAATAAAAAGGAAATGAAGTGTCGAATTCGCTATGTACACGAATACTATTTGTTCATAAATCATAAGAATGTACTCACCCGGCCTGCCGGGTTATGATGCAGGGCTGGGAGGCAGCTCGCCCGTGAACCAGTCACTCGGGCTCTGCCCCAGCTCAAACTCGAGCGTTCCTCCGTTATCAAAGATATCACCCCATGCCAGCCAGTTCTTCCGCCACTGTTTCCCATTGACTTTGAGACTCTGGACATAGATCTTGCTGTCACCGTTGCCGTCACCCCCGGTTGCTGTAACGCGCAGCTCCTTCCCACCACCTAAATCGATGGCCAAGGACTCAAACCATGGCGAATGGATGAGGAACGTCGTCTGCCCTGTGATCGGATACAGTCCGATCATGTTCCAGAGCAGCCATGTCTGCATGGCGCCAGCGTCGCTGTTACCAGGTAGCCCTGCGACGCCCGTGTTGAAGTACTTTTTGGCGACCTTGCGGGACTGCGCGACGGAGAGATCCTGTCGGCCGACATAGTTGTATAGGTATGGGATGTTGAACATGCTACGCTTGTCAGTAAACTTCCTCTTGTCCTCAGCCTGAAGATGAATAACTTACGGCTCATTCGTAGGATCGAAGATCATCCCGCTGGACCCGCTCGCTCCCTCAGTGAACATGGTATTCAGCCGATCGACGGCCGTCTTCTCGCCTCCCATCCGCTCAACCATCTCCTTCATATCATGCACGCTGGCCCACGAGTACGCCCACGAGCTCGCCTCGTAGTACGGATCCCCCCAGTACCCGCTATCACCCAGGGGGTCCGTCTCAAGAAACCCGGACGTATTACGCGGCACCACAAATCCCGAGAATCCCAGCGACGTCTGCTCCGGATTCCAGTGATTGCGCCAGTTCCGCGAGCGGTTCAGATACTTCTCCGCGTCGGCGTGCTTCTCCAACCCCGATGCGACTTGGTGCAGTCCAAAGTCATTGCAGGAGTACTCCACCGCGCGCGTCACGGCGCGGGTATACTTCGGCGTGATATATCCCAGACTCAACCAGTCGGGGAGCGCGCCGCGGCCTTCCTTTGTGGACGAGTCCGGCGCCATGGGATCTAGCGGGTCGTTGGGGGGCGCGACCTCGGCGTCTTTCACCATGGCTTTGTAGCCGTCTTCCCAGTTGACGGCGCCGCGGACGCCCTTGACGTAGGCGTCGGCGAGGATGTTGTCGGCGTTGGAGCCGCCCTGGGTGCGGCCGTTGTAGTTGGACGAGCGGGCGTCGGGCAGGTAGCCCTCGAAGCGCCAGATGTCGATCAGGGAGCGGATCTGCTCTTCGTAGGCTGTGGGTTGCAGGACTTGCATGAGGGCCGTGGAGCAGCGGAAGAGGTCCTGCAATCATTTAGTGATGGCTTACTTAACGCAGGCAAGGGAATGGGGGAAATACCCAGTATGTGAAGATGTCCTGGTAATAGGGCTCGGACGATGTCCAGCCGGGGTTCTCGCCTGTCTGGTTCGTGGGGATCAAGTGCATAAAGTATAGCGAGGTGTAGAGCAGCTCGAGGCTGGTGGCGTTTGTGTTTGCGGTGGTCACCTTGGACAAGACGGTGGTGTTCCATGCGGCCTTGGTGGCTTGTACCACGGAGGTGAGTGCTGTCCCGTGCGGGATCTCATCCTGGACGTGCTTGCAGGCTTTCTGCGTGGAGATCCACGAGATCCCAACGCGAGACGTCACCACGGCGTCCTGGAAGGAGAAGAGTCCTCCGACTCGGGTCGATCCCGAGGTCGAGGACGCGAAGCCGCTCTCCTGCTTGACACTGCCTTTCGCATCCGTCCCAATATACGTTACGTTGCTGACCGGCTCAGCATCAAAGTAACCACCTGCAACCATTAGCCAAGCACACCCTAACCAGGAAAAAAAAAAAGCAGCACTAACAAAAGTAAATAGCCCAATCCGGAGACCGATTCCACCCATTATCATACACCCCATGGCCCTCGTAATGCCCATCCGGAAAGATCGTCAAGTTACCCCCCTTATAGCGCTGGCCAAGCCCCTGTCCCCGAAACGACGGCAGAACATGCGACACATCCACAAGCACATTCCCAGTCGCGCCAACGGGAAACGTATACCGATACATGCCCGCACGTGCGGTAGCAGCCAATTCAACAACGACGCCGTCCGCCGTGCGCGCTGTGTAGTGCCCCACCTCTGCCTCGTCCGCGCCCGCACGCGCCACCGTCTTATTCGACAGCGGGTCGCGGACCTCGCCCACCAGCGGCAGCTGCGCTACGGTGCCGTACTTGGGGGCCCCGCCTGTGCCTTGCTCGTGCATCATGCTGAAGCCGGAGAAGGCGCCGTTGGGCAGGTATCCCGAGTAGGCGTCTGTGCCGGGATTGAGCAGGTCCGGGCCGAGCTTGACCATGCCGAAGGGCCGGGCGACGCCGGGGAAGTTGTTCCCGCCATTCTGGGTGCCCGTGCTGGCGCTTGCGTTAGTATAGCGCAGCATCAAACCTGAGACAGGGGGCTTACAAGAGGTTCACGTGGGATGTGAGGTCGGTGGCTTCGACGACGGGATGCAACAAGGTTACGACTAGGAGCACGCTCAGGCACTGCATCGTCAGTAAGGCCACCGCTATTGCGGAGAGAATGAGTGAGCGGAGACGAGGCCTGGCGGGGGGAGAGTCAGTATGGTTTTTCATGAATACGATGAAGATATAGCCCTTGCCTCTATGTCCGTCCGTTGGCGTCTCTAAATATAAATCTAAGAAACAGGTCTACTAGACAAGCGAATGTGGATAGTCTACCACACGACCACGGTTTCTGAACATAATCAGCAAGACAAACGAGTGACTAGGTTACCCTCACTTGCTAGCGGGGTAAACCTCTACAACTGCCAAGCAATGAACGAATGAATGGCGAATGAATGATAATGAATGGATGGATGGCTGTACATCCAGACAAGAGGTGTGTTAGTTGACCATTAGAGGCATGAGGACTCGACACATGCCACGATCACAGGCGAAGAGCCATCCTAACGAGAGACTAGGGACTAGACTAGAGACTAGACTAGGGACTAGACTAGAAAATTAGAATGAAAAACAGCTGGTGGCTGCAGAAGGATTTTAGACTCCTTTTAGTCTTCATCTTGTCCAGACTAGGAAGTAAGGGGACTGAGCTGGATTCTTGACAGAACACTATTTTGGCAATCAACATGACCAATATGACCAATCACAATACACATTCCCGAAGAGGGCCACCTGAACAATCCCAATATTCAATAATCACAATGCTCATACTTGAAGATAACTGCAAGAATGCAGCAAAAATTTTCTTCAGGCATTAATGATCATTACCCCTGACACATGGCGAGCTCAACCATGGGATATGAAAGTTTCTGCCTATCCGGTGACAAGCCTGGATTGAGCACATGCGGGCGTCCAGAACATCGGCTGCTGCAGTACCTAGGTGGAGTACGGAGTAATCCCTGAGACTAAGGCAGGGACTAAAAGTTACTAAAGTTGTACAACCAGAGCAAATGATCCGCCCACATGCTTCAGGGTTCAGGCAGGGTTCAGGCACACCATGTGATTGGTTGGTGCAGTTAGGATTGACTGATAAGGCTATGAAAGCGACCGCAAATATCAGCTCGCCGGGCTAGCTCAATCGGTAGAGCGTGAGACTCTTAATCTCAAGGTTGCGGGTTCGACCCCCGCGTTCGGCTTCTTTTTTCTTTTTTGCATTTCCCCCTCATACGGGGTTTGGGATATGATATTTTGTTAGCTTATTATATCTTTCGATCATAATTAACACAGTAATACTGTTGTATTGTGCCTTGGCAATCCTGCCCTAACACTGACGTTGAAATCAGCGGATCAAGTCAAAGCATGCCAAAGTTGAATGTATATAACAAATCGCAGTCAATGCTTAACGCTCTAAATCTATCTATTCTATACTGCACCTGTCGATTCCTCGATCATCCGCTCAATCGCCATCCTCTCTCCACTCTCCTCCACCAAACCCCGGAAAACACCATTCTCAGTCTTCATCAGCTCCCCCGGTGGCCCCATCTCCACCACCCTGCCCCCATCCAGAACAAGAATCCTATCAAAGTCCGCAATCGTCGACAGTCGATGCGCAATAACCAGCAACGTACACCCACGAACCACCTGCCGCAGCGTCCGCTGGATCCGAATATCCGACTCCATATCGATCGACGCCGTGGCCTCGTCCATGATCAGGATCTTCGGCCGCGAGACCAGCGCACGCGCCAGACACAGTAACTGCTTTTGGCCCTGCGAGAGGTTCCGTCCTTCTTCTATGATAGACGCATCGAGAGAGAATACCCCATTGGACAGGCCTTCAGCCGTGTTCTCTCCTTCAGGATCATGGTCATCCGGAAGCAGCCCGACCTCCCTCAGAGCATCGCGCAACTCGCTATCATCATGCTGGGCAAACGGATCCAGGACTTCGCGCACCGTGCCCGCAAACACAACCGGGTCCTGCGGGATGATGCCCACGCGCGAGCGGAGATCGTGTAATCGCACCTGCGCGATATCGATCCCGTCGATGTGGATGGACCCGGACCGCGCGTCCAGGCAGCGGAGGAGCGCCAGGGAAAGCGAGGATTTGCCTGCGCCTGTGCGGCCCACGATGCCGACTCGCTCGCCGGGGCGCAGCGTGAAGGTGAGGTCCTGCAGGACAGGCGGGAGGTCTGGCCCGTAGCTGACACAGAGATCGGTAACCTCGATCTCGCCGTTGTGGGGCCAGTATGCTGGCACGGCGATGCCGGATTGGGGTTCCTGGTCGAGCTGCGTGTATTCTACTATCCGTTCGGCGGCGTTGGCGTCGAGTTCGAGTTTGGCGTACTGCGAGAGGAGCCAGTAGATGTGGTCCGACAGTTCGAGCGCGTAGCTGAGAGCGAATCCTGCGAGAGCGGCGTCGAGGGTGCGGATGGTGACGAAGGTGATTGTCACGGAGGCGACGAACTAGACAGTTAGTCTGGGGGTCCGATGAATATATGGTGGAAAGGGGGAGGTACAATTGCTCCGACCATGCTCATCCAAAACGCCATCCAGCACGAGAATAACCGCTTGTGCCAGAGAGCCTGGCAGTGTACATCAATCAGATCGTACATTCGCTTCAGGTAGGCCTTTTCTCTCCCGAATGCACGGATGGTAGGTAACCCGGTGAGCAGAGAGCCGACCAGCTCGAAGATGGGCGATCGAGCGGTACTTTCTAGTCGTTTTGCCTCGCGGGCACCGGTGACGTAGAAGTAAGCGACCGCCCACGACGCCAAGAGAGTCAGCAGGCCAATTCCCACGATGAGAGGAGAAGTCACCGAAGCTGCGACAATGACGCCGAAGATCATGATGCCGCTGTGCAGGAGGTACGAGAGATCCAGAGCAAGATCGGAGTCGAACGTGCCGAAATCGGAAGTGAACCGGTTCAGGATCTGGCCAACCGGTGTCATATCGAGGAAACGGAGGGGGGCCCGGAGGATGGTCTGGGCGAACTGTTCGAACATCACCTTGGAAGCTTTAATGGAGCTACCGAGGATGATCTGGATACGGATGATGTCCAGGACCCACGAGGCGAATGCCAAGCCGAAGTAGATTGAGCTATAGTAGACAAGGCGATGGTCCAAATGCAGTCCGCCAGTCCTGAAATCTGGATGATCAGCGGGCTGTGTGAGAATCGCTCGCGGAGGACTTTGGTTGTATGCTCTGGTCCAAACGGTAACCCAGTAAGGAGCTGCCAGGTTCAGGACCAGTGTCATGACGCAAAGAATGATGACGAGAATCCAGCGAGAGTAGCCCCCGGAAGCTTTGATATAAGCCTTGTACACCTCTGCTTTGACCACGCCACGCTCTCGCTTCTCTTCCTCGTAGTACTTTTTGGGCTGGGCGTCTGAACGCGGAGTAGCGTCGGTTCGCTGGCTGGGATACCGCGACTTGGGTTCGCTATCCGATGCGTCTGACGTCCCGTCATCAAGACTTTGCTCGGAAGGTCCGTCTTGGACGAGACTGGATGGATGCCCTGCCTGCACAACGTTGCCATTCTCCAGCCTCACCAGGTACGCGGCCCCTCTCAGACACAGTCGAATATGGTGCGTGGCCAGGACTCTAGTTCTCCCTTTCGCAAGAGGCCCAGTCAGAGCATTGTCATACAGATGCCGGCCAACATTGGAATCAACCGCACTAAAGATATCGTCCAAAACGAGAATGCTAGCTCGGCTGTATAGCGCCCTCGCCAACGCCAGGCGCCACTTCTGCCCACCGCTCAGATTGATTCCGTTAGCGCCGATATCCGTTCTATCCCCGTCAGGGAAAGATTGCAGATCATGCGAGAGAGCGCACGCATGGATGACCTTGTCATACCGCTCTGCGTCCAAATGCAGCCCGAACAAGATGGCATCCCGGATCGTCGCGTTCTCAATCCACGGATCTTGGGAAACATATGCAACTAGGCCATCCACTATCCAGTTTTCCTCGCCAGCTGGCCAGCTGGCGGCTGATGCGCGAGGGACAATCGCAGTCCCCTTCACAATGTCTGCTTCGCCGATAAGCGCTTGAAGGAGGAGTGACTTGCCAGCACCGCTCCGTCCTGAGATGACCGTGAGCTCCCGCGGAGGCAAGTCTATATTGAGACCCTTAAGCTGGAACTGCACTGCTGCATCTTCTGACGCAACGGACGGCCATGCAATGGTCGCTTCGCGAAAGGAGATAGCGTCCCCTGGCACCCTCTTGTCCTCGTGTTCTGCCAGATCCAGAAAGCTTTCGATTCGCCGAAGGCTGACCAAGGCATCTAGTAGCTCGGTAAAGGTTTCCGGAAACAAGCTTAGCACGCCCTGTAGATTTTCAAAAAGCGACAAGGCTGTGAAGGCAGCTGACACGGCAATAGAGCCATTTATGTAGATATGTGTCGCGATGGAGATACAGCTCATGCACAGAGGACCCAGTGTCCACATGGCATATAGGCAGACGTCCAGCTGGAAAACTGTGTATTGGTTACGCAGCTCCTTTTCCCGCAAACCCAGGATCTTGTCGTACCATTGGTTTTCCAGCGCGCTGAACTTGATCTGCCGCATGCCGCGCATCAAGACCGTAAGAGTCGCGGATTTGTCGTCACGGCGGTCCATGAGGGCTTGTTCCTGTCCACTGTACCGGCTCGTTAAATGGTAGTAGAAAGGTATCAGGAGGACGGGAATAGCGCAGCCAGCCACCATGGACTTCCATCCCATCAGGTATAAGAGGAAGGAAATTGAGATGCCAAGCTCAAGTATGCAGTCGATGAGCACATGAGCGAACGAGACGAAGTCGGAGACTCTTTCCACGTCCACTCCGAGGAGATTGAGAACGGAGTGCTTTGTTCTGGGCGGTCCATCGTCATCGTCGTCGTCATCGCCATCGTTGCTCGCAGCATCATCATCCTCGCTATCGCCGGTGGATATCACGACATCGTTCAATCTCATGGCTTTCTTGGAAATGACTGCTAGCAGCTGTTCATTAATCGGCAGAGAAAGCTTCATATCAGCAACCAAGTCTCTCAATGATATGGACCATGACTTGACCACCATCGATAGCCCAAGACAGAGCGCAGCCAACCATAGTTGAAGCTGGTTCCTGGCTCCTGCATCCCGGTCCTCGAAGAGGCGAAGGATGCTAAAGAGGAGGAAGTGAGGGAGGAAGTTCACCGCATTGGCGAAGAGCTGTATGATCACCTGCGAGGCTATCTCTGGCCAGTAGAGCTTAAGCCACCTCCTCCATCGCGCCGAGGTTGAGCTGACTGCAAAGAAGGCGTCGGACAGGGTCTTTGCACGCACTTCGTCCCCGACTAGCGGGAGGTCGTCAATATTGAGTCTTTTATTGTTCGCCGCGATGGCCAGGGTTTTGTACGCCCAGGAGAAGGTGTATCGGCTTAGAAACGAGACGGAGTTTAGCGCATCAACCGGATGGCCGTGGCGGTAGAGTGTAGGTCCTCGTGGAAATGCGAGATTCACGAAGAGGAGAATGACAGCAGCGATCGTTTGAACAATGCTCGATGCATCAGGGGAAGTTAATTTGAAGTCAGATTTGCTGTGCAACGACGAAGCATATGGCCAGGCTACACTGATGGCTATGGCCAGACTTGCCAAGGCGCTGTAGTGGCCTAAGCGATATCGAGCTTCGGGATTCCGACGGCTTATGAGAAACAATTCTTGCACTAGGATCATGGACTGCAAACATGGTCATCTCTCGAGCTCCAGAAGCTCTCAGAAGCATTTCTGCTTACCCACATCGCCAAAAGAAGGGCTTTTGGAGCAAGCACTGGTTGGATGCTTACGCAGGACCAGAGTGCCGCAATGGTGGCTGCTGCTGCCACCATACCAAGGGTCACGCGTTGCCAGACTGATCGCGGCGACTTGCCGGTGGTAATGACCTCATCGTCGTTGCTAGACTCGATTGATATGTATCCTTTCTTGTTTCCACAGTCAGTGACAACCTGTCGGGCATGAGGGATTGATAGGAGCAAGATCGCTGACGCCCCTACGAAGGGAACGGGGAGGTTCGACAGAGTCATTAGCGTGAGACCGACGATTCATTGCTTTGCAGAATTTCGCAGAAGAAACCGAGTGGAGAAATCTAAATATGAATCCCGTGTTTTCTAGGGATTTCACTGATGAGTCAAAATCTGATCTGACCATTCCAGGCATCAGGATTCTTGCGGGGATCAGATTGTCGGGCACCACATTAGGACAGCGCTCCTTCATCTCAGAGCCCGAGATGAGTAAGATTTGGAATTGCATGCTCGTTCGAATTCTGATGAAGAGTCATGCAGATAATAGTTGGTGTCATTTCAGCACTGACCTGCTGTATGCGTGTAGCCAGACGTAGGTCTAGGTCCGGATAGCTGCAGATGAAGACCTTTTTCTGACGCTTGTTTGATATTTCTGTGGCGTTCCAGCAAAAAAAATATAAGCTCAAGTGATTTAATTTAAGGATATTGGTTTAGCTCTGTATTTGGTTCAAACTAGTAGAAGCCTCGCATTATCTGATGCCTGAGGACCCTGAGATTAGGCTTAAGCGGAGGTGACCCTATTTTAGGACATCTGGAATCTTCCACTGCCAACTTAGCTATTACCCTGGGAGAGGACATCTCTGGTTGATCTACACGCCGTAAGTGGCTGACCATACAGACCTTATTTTCGAAATGTGCAGAAAGCTGCTCCATATTATTAATGAAGTCGAATACGAGGCAATTTGTCAGCATCGGTCGACCTCTTGTACAAAGTATACTTGCGATTCTGGTCAATAGCAGAATATAAATAATCCCCTCTTGATAGAGGCTTCTCTTAACCAGAAGGCAAAAGCGCATTAGTTTCGTTAGTTTCATTAGCTATTTAATAACATGTCTCCTATCCAGAACGTCACTGTTCTTGGGGTATCGTCCACCATTCCCCGGTAGCCTACATTCCATCACCACCATACTAACAAATATACTGTCAGGCATCCGGAGCCGTCGGGACCCTCCTGGTCGACGCTCTGCTCGCCTCCAATTTCACCGTCTCCGTGGTCGTCCGTCCCTCTTCCAAGGCTACCTTCCCGTCGTCTGTGACCGTCCACCGCGCCAACTATGACGATCGCGCGGCCCTCACTGCCGCCTTCCAGGGCCAGGACGCCATCATCTCGGCCGTGGGGACCTTCGACGCTGCAATCCAGCGCACAGCCATCGACGCCGCAGCCACCGTGCCCAGCGTAAGACGGTTCATCCCGAGCGAGTACGGAGGCGACACGTCGCAGCCGGGGGCCGTCAGCTTTGCCCGATTCCCGCAGGCTAAGCGCGAGATTGTCGAGTACCTGGATTCAAAGGAAGGGATAACGTGGACGGCGATCTGCACGGGGTCGTTCTTCAACTGGGTTTGTCTTCCTGTCCCTGCATGGAAACCGACTGCTGATGCTAACAACAACAATTGATGCAGCTACTTGAGTTGGAAAACGCGGCGATGGGCTGGGATCTGTCTGCTCGCAAAGTCAGTATTTTCGATTCTGGCAATCGTCCGTTTGTCGTGAGTACGCTTGGGCAGGTGACGAGGGCGATCATCTCCGTCCTTCAGCATGAGGAGGAGACGAGGAATGCGTATGTGTATGTAAAGTCGTTTGAGGTGACGCAGAACCAGCTCCTGGGGTTGATTGAGCGGTTGTCGGGGACAAAGTTCGAGGTGAAGCATTTGACTACGGAAGAGATTGCGCAGCGGGGAGTGGATCATCTCGAGGAGGGAGACTATGAGCATGGATACCCGGAGGTGGTGACGGCGGTGGCATATGGGCCATGGGGATTCTTGGGGTTTGGAGAGCAAGCAGAGAAGTGGAATAGCGTTCTGGGTCTTCCGAAGGAGGACCTCGAGGAGACTGTAAGGGATGTGCTGAGGAAGAAGGGATTATTGGAGTGATGTATAATCTTTAGGTGCTAGGATTCTATTACGGCTTCGTCTACTACCACCGGTTAATATAATACATTCAATATTAGTTCAAGTACTCAATGAAGGACGTCTCTGTCATTATGAGTGGTGGAAATGTCCACTGTTGAATGTGTCTCAACTAGACACCCGGTAAAAGGAAAAGATACAGGCAAATGGGGTGAAGAGGGAATAGTCAGGCTTGACTTGCAGATATCCATTCAGAAGGGTTGGTCAGTGTATCTGTACAACTTTTGAGTTCACAACCCCTGCCCCTTCGCTCCGTGACTGCTCTAGCATTACTCTGCGATCTGGCCTGCTGCTAATGCCGGAAAGCTTCTCCAGAATATCCGACGAATAGGGATCTTACCAAGCCACTAAATGAACCTTAAAACTGCAGATCTTATTGTACTCTAATAAACCCACCTATCGCTCTGCAGATTCCCATCGTGAGTAAGCGGGGGAAAGTCTTTCGGCTAATAATTGTCGTATTCACTCCTGATGATTTAGGCTATTACCAGGACGACAGGGCTATAAATCCACCTTTTTTCCTGCAGAACCTTGCGATGGTGTGGGGTAACAATTGAACCGTTCTCGTGATGTTGTGCTTCGTTGCTAGTCTTCTCTTAGGGCTTGGGTTAACAGCCCAAGCCCAAGAGACATTCACCAACCCTGTCATCTATGAAGACTTCCCCGACAATGACATCTTCCTTGGCCCTGATCGAAAGACCTTCTACTGGTCCAGCTCCAATTTCCACTACTCGCCCGGTGCCCCAATCCTCCAGTCTACCGACCTGGTGAACTGGGAGCTGATCGGTCATTCCGTGCCGACGCTGGACTTTGGATCCAACTACAACATGGAAAACGGCCAGACAGCCTACAACGGCGGAACCTGGGCTTCAACCTTACGCCACCGCAAGAGCAACGGCAAATGGTACTGGATCGGCTGTGTCAACTTCTGGACTACGTACGTCTACACAGCCCCGGACGTCAAGGGCCCCTGGCAGAAATCCGCTAGCTTCCAACCCTGCTTCTACGACTGCGGGCTCTTGATCGACGACAACGACACAATGTACGTGGCCTACGGAAACACTAACGTTTCAGTGGCCCAGCTCTCTCCCGACGGATTGAGCGTCGTCAGGACACAACAAGTCTTCAGCTCCCCGTCCGAGTGCCCAGGAGGTATCGAGGGCAACCGCATGTACAAGATCAACGGGTTGTACTACATTCTCGACGACTGCCCCGCGAACGGAATCACCGAGGTCTGGAAGGCCTCCAGCCCGTTCGGGCCCTACCAACGGAAGATCCTCAGCAACAACATCCCCTCTCCAGTTCCTGGCTCCGGCGCCCCCGTCCAAGGGAGTCTCATCGAGACGCCCAATGGGCAGTGGTACTTTATGTCCTTTGCGTGGGCCTATCCCCTCGGCCGACTGCCGGTTCTTGCCCCCGTGACCTGGGGATCCGACGGCTTCCCCAGCCTCCAGACAGTGAACAACGCCTGGGGCAAGTCCTACCCCTACCCCCTTCCCAAGAACAACAGTGTGCCGTCATGGATCGGCGGCGATCAGTTCTGGGGTAATAAGCTGGGCCCGATGTGGGAGTGGAACCACAATCCCGACACGACCAAATTCTCCTTCAACAATCCCGGCCTGACGCTCCAGACAGCCACCGTCACCAACGACCTGTACCACGCGCGAAACACCCTCACCCATCGCCCTCACGGCCAGTTCCCCATTGGAACGGTCCTCCTAGACTTCACCAACATGGCCGACGGCGACCAATGCGGGCTGGCCGTCTTCAAGGACCAGAGCGCCTGGATTGGGATCGTCCGTAGCGGCAACAGTTACACCGTGAAGGCCGTGCAAGGGCTCACGCAGGACCCTAGCAATAACTGGGCCACGACCAGTACCGGAACAGAGGTTGGGAGTGCATCCATTTGGACGCGCCAGGTCTACCTCCAGATTCGGATGGATGCGCGCGCGGACGGTTCGAAGCAGTCGACGTTCTATTATAGTACGGACGGGAACACGTACTCGCAGCTTGGTGGTGCCTTTACTTCGAATACCGGCTGGCAATACTTTATGGGATACCGCTTTGCGATATTCAACTTTGCTACGAAGGCTTTGGGGGGCTCGGTTAAGGTCCTGGGCTTTACAAGCTGGACTAGCGGGAATTAGCTGTAGCGCTTCCTCTGCCATTCTACATGGATGTCACGATCGCCTGTCCTTTGATGGTCGGGAATTCTGTGCATGGTATCGTTTCTGATGGCTCAGTTGACAGCCATGTGAACCTACTAGCTTAGGATTGATTCGCTGAGATGTATGCATAAAGTTGGTGCTCCTAACGTCATGATGAAAGCTTAGCTGGAACTCCTGCAAATATCATCCTCTCGATCGCCTTCTTTATAGTCTCTGTGCTTGTTAGCGGCTTGGTGCAGACAAAACAACACGCTCAAGTGGACGGAAACCCATACGCTTGTTGCGGGTCTCTTTCGGGGGTTTCTTGTGCTCGGAAGGACGTTCGCATACTGCCTCGACTACAGGGGTGCTCTGCACATCCCGACCAGTACAAGCGATGGCGTGTCCCGGCCCCTATTCAGCTCATCCCCCGTGGACTGATGCTTATCGACTCTTCTGTCTCGAAGAATTACTCGCTGGCTGATGAGCAAGGGGCGCTATGAAGAAGCCCTCCAGTCTCTAGCTTACTCCCACATCACTCTGCGAACTACGCGGACGTACAGAAAGACACGGTTGAATTAAATGTCCATTAAAAACGAGCTGGCAGCGACCGAGCGCTGACCCGGAAAGAATTCCTGCAGGAGAGTAGCCGGAATGTCTTTCTCTTCGCAGTGGTGCTCATCTTCTGGCAGCAGTTCAGCGGCACAAATCCAGTTGGTTACTTGCTCCTCAAAAATTCCAGCTGATCGCCCTGAGCGCGACAAGTTCATCCCTCTTTGCTTCGGCGTCCATGGAACAGTCAAGATTGTCGCCACGGCGATTTTCTTGCTCATCGGGATCGATTGACGGTGCTGAAGCCAAGACTCATTGGCATCGCTGGATGTATGGTGACGATGATGTCTCATTTGGGCTGTCTTAGCCACGCATCCGCCCGATCCAATCGCCTCATGGGTATCCCAGGCTTCCATCTCCATGGCCGTCATCAGCTTTTCGACCTGGGGACCAGTCCATGAGAATTTATTGACGAGGCAAGATGGTTTCCGCACGTTTCTGTTGTTCAAGCGGATATGCTGGCCCCGACCGACTTCATGTGTACGGCGTTGGCTCCGAGTCAGTGGCTCTCAATTTCGTTGTGACCGAGATCAGGCAAAGCTGCAGGGCAGACAAAGAAAGACAAGATCTAGCTTATGACTCAGAGCAATTTCGCAAATGCAGAGTATTCGGCCGAGACAGAATGTTCCATGGAGGAGGCCTTATCATGAGAGACCAGGGTCATATGTCACCTCCTATCTGGCTGTCGCACATTTGCAAATAGGAGAAACTATTACGTTCATAGAGAGCCATGGTCCTTCAAGATGTCTCATTACAAATTGAAACTGTCCTGACTGCAGTTGGATTCTAAACTGCTGCATCGAATGAATGCGACAGGCTGACTCAGCGACAACACACGAACTACATCCCTTGGCGGTTGGACGAGTGATTCATAGCCCCTTCGTATCTGCCTAACTCGGCAGTCGGCACACCCTGGAAGATGATCTCCACAGGCTATTTAAATAAACTGAAAAGAGGTATATGCCTGGCCACAACGGCATTGATTATCGCGGCATTCGGGGTTGTGCTAGCCTATTTTTCAACAACCATGTTCCACTGGAACAAATGGTCTCTGGCGCCCTTTCTGTACATTGCGACCACTGCATCAAGTTCTAGAAGTTCGCCGGATGGTACAACAGGTTGTCAATGTGTATTCCCCTCTCTAATCGAAGCAACAGCAGCCGAGCTCCAGGAGGGGCTCGCTAAAGGCTGCTTCTCCAGTGTCGACCTGGTCAATGTTGGTGCATTTCCCTCTCCAATAAACCCCGGCATTGATGATAATGAAGGGATTAGGCGTATGTGGCCCGGATACACGAGGTCAACTCGACACTGCACATGGTCCTCGAGGTCAACCCGGACGCATGGGACATTGCTCGGCAGCTTGACTTGGAGAGAAAATCTGGACTCGTACGAGGGTGAGCCATAACAAGACCTTCGCGAGAAATCCATTCATTGACAGCTGGCAGACCTTTGCATGGCCTTCCCATTCTTCTCAAAGGCAGCATCGGCACCGAGGACAAGACGGAGACAGCTGGTAAGATTGTATGCGGTGACATCCCAACTCAATAACTGACTAAGATCACAGCTGGCTCTTATGCACTTGTTGGCGCCAAGGTGGCTGCGGATTCAACTGTTGCAAAGAAGCTCAGACAAGCAGGCGCCATCATTCTCGGCAAGACCAGCATGTCAGAGTGGGCGAACTTCAGGTCACTGAATGGATCCTCCGGCTGGAGCGCGCAGGGAGGCCAGACATATGCAGCCTACTATCCTAAGCAGGATCCCAGCGGTAGTTCAAGCGGCAGCGGCGTGGCAGCCGATTTGGGCCTTGCCCTTGCAGCCCTAGGTACCGAGGTAATGACTTTCATCTAGAGAGCCCCCATGGAATTGCATGCTAAATTCCGAGGATTGATCAGACAAGTGGAAGCATTCTATGCCCGAGCGAGAATAACAATATTGTCGGCATCAAGCCCACCGTCGGTCTGACATCACGATACATGGTCATCCCCATAAGCGAGCGCCAGGATACAATCGGGCCGATGGCCAGGACTGTCAAAGATGCGGCAATGATTCTGCAAGCGATTGCAGGTCCAGATACAAATGACAACTATACCCTGGCATCTCCATTTGGCAACCGCCTCCCGAATTACGTCGCAGCTTGCAAGTTGTCTGGCCTGAAAGGGAAACGAATCGGTATACCCCGCAACGTCATCAACACGTTGGGCGCGTCAAGTGCGCCGATAGTGTCTGCATTTGAGGCCGCCGTCTCCGTGATTTCCGAGGCAGGCGCGACAATCGTTGAGGACGCGAACTTCACAGGCTACGACGAGTACCTCAAGTCTTCGATCCCCCAGACTGTTGTGGCTGCGGATTTCATAAGCAATATCGCATCATATCTCTCCAAATTAAAGACCAACCCGAATAATCTTCATAATCTGGAAGACATTCGGCGCTTCATTCAGCATTCGCCACTAGAGGACTATCCATCTCGTGATACAGGCATCTGGGATCTCGCGCTTGACAGAGGTCTCAACAACACATCTCCCGAGTTCTGGCAATTGCACTTGCAGAGCTTGTACTACGGGGAAGAAGGAGGGTTGACAGGAGCTTTATCCCGCAACAAGCTCGATGCTGTCATTCTTCCCACAGTTCTCGCTGACGACATACCAGCTATCATCGGGTCACCGGTAATCACAGTCCCTCTTGGGTCGTTCCCCGAGGGCACACCCATTGAGTACAATCCACGTGGCAACTTGGTTGAAAAGGCGCCTGGTATCCCTTTTGGAATCAGCTTTCTTGGACCCAAATGGAGCGAGGAGAGCTTAATAGGCATGGCCTATGCCTTCGAACAGCGGACGCTTGCGAGAAAGAAGCTCCAAAGATACATTGAACCGAAAAGTGACCTGAGTAGCGTATTGTAATGATTTTTCGGTCAAGAACAGAGTATATACATCATGCTTGGTAGAGAGAAAGTTATTGCAAAAGAACAAAATCCGATCTAACTATCATCAAGGACAATGCAAAGAACAATGGACAGAAATCCATGAACCATGTATATGCTCCAAGGCACGTGCTCTTTGGATGTTGGAGATTACTCAGAAAGGAATAGCGCAGTTCTTGGTCGGCATGATAAGATTAGCTCCTCTCGCGGGGGATTTTAATCTGATGCGCCAAGTCAAGACTTCAAACACGGTTGGATCAGCGCCGGAGTGCAAAGTGTTATTCCTGTACATTCATTGCTGGCCTTTTTTTTTATGGAGAATCTAGAGCAGACGTGCGCGTCCTTACGCGCTCAAATCGCTGCCACCGAGGCCCAGCTTGCAGGTCTGAAACGCGAGCTCGAAACGGCCGAGCAAGCAGCCGCCGAAGTCAAGGCTCAAGATACCTCGACAACAATCGCTGCCGACGAAAGGAGTGAAAATGGGACAAGGAAGTGGCCACTGCTCGGCGAGGAATACAAGCGGTATGGAAGACAAATGATTGTACCCCAACTTGGTTTGCAAGGTATGTGCATTAAGCTGCTCTAGGAAAACAACAGTCCTCTGCGCCGGCTTGTTTTTATGGCATCGCTAATTTTCTGATCACTTGTATAGGGCAATTGAAGCTTCGCTCCGCACGAGTCCTCATTATTGGAGCTGGTGGACTGGGGTGTCCTGCAGCGCTGTACCTTGCTGGAGCAGGTGTGGGAACTTTGGGCCTGGTCGACGGAGACACTGTCGAAAGCTCGAACCTGCACCGGCAGGTTCTGCATAGGAGCAAGAATGTTGGAAAGTTCAAAGTGGATAGCGCGATCGAATATTTGCGAGAGTTAGTTCAATCGCAAACCCCCGCCGAATGTGTTCAGGTACTGACTGGTTGATTCCTGCGACTCAGGCTGAATCCCCATCCTACGTACGTACCATATAGAGCACACCTCACGCCTCAAGAAGCTCCGGATATCTTCAAGAATTACGATCTCATTCTTGATTGCACGGATAATCCCGCGACGCGGTATTTGATCTCGGACACAGCTGTGCTGCTCGGGAAGCCCTTGGTCTCTGCTTCCGCATTACGGACGGAAGGACAGCTCATGGTGTTGAACTACCCTCCTCGGCCGGTGGGAGACAAGAGCGGAGGACCGTGCTATCGATGCGTGTTTCCGAAACCGCCACCGGCGAACAGCGTTGTCAGCTGTGCTGACGGCGGGATCCTCGGCCCAGTTGTAGGCACAATGGGGGTTCTTCAAGCACTTGAGGCAATCAAGGTTATTACCTCTCCAGCTGCGAATTCGATCGCGTCACCCCCATCTCTGCTTATATTCTCCGCATACTCGACCCCCCCATTTCGAACCATCAGGCTCCGCGCTCGTCGTGCGAATTGTGCAGTGTGCTCTGCGGATGCCAGCGTGACACTAGAGACGCTCAAATCAGGATCTACCGATTATGTCTTTTTCTGTGGCGTTGCAGGCCTGGAAGCGACTCTTTCGCCGGCGGAACGTATTTCGCCCCTTGACTTCAGAAAGAAACATCCCAAGGAAGTGTTGCAAGACGGAGACAGCATAAGCAAGGAGCCCACGATCATTGATGTGAGAGAGAAGGTGCAATTCGACATTTGTAATTTGGAAAACAGCATCAACATCCCCATCTCGACCATTTTGTCGTCAGCGGCAAGTCCTACGACGAACGCAGACGCCAATGCCCAACCTTCGCTACCGTCCTGGCTTCCAGCAGACGTAGTCTCCACTGATTCGACGGACCCTATATATGTTGTGTGTCGTCTTGGAAATGACTCGCAGATCGCAGTTCGGAGGTTGAAAGAGTTGGGGCTCGATCTGGGCGGACAGAGATACATCGGTGATATACATGGAGGGTTTCGCGCTTGGCGTGAACAGATTGATCCTGACTGGCCAGAATACTGAGTAGAAGCGATAGATCAATTATGTGAATAAAAGACAGTCATGTACAGCAGTCATAATGGGTATATCAAAAGTAGTGCCAACAAATAAAGAAGGTAAAGCAAGCCGAATGGCTCATCTGTCATGACTGTAATGAAGCCACAGGAGAGTTTTCCAGCCACGACCATTCAACGGTGACCCGACCAAGATCGGGATCAGCAAGTTTCTCAAAGACAGCGGGCGACACGTCCAAATCTTTCACTTTACATCCCACACCTGGATCCATGTTAGCTATTAGAGTCTTCATCCGCGCACATAGTATCGCAGCCAAGAAGAGATTAGATATGAAAAGTGTCAGAAAACATACATCGATCAACAATCTTGACATCAACGCTGGTGTCACCCCGACGAAGCCTCAATTTGAGCCCGCACAGCGGATTCGCATTCGGATTCGACCCCGTCGACGCAGCATCAAACAGAACATGCGAGACGGCACAAATCATGTCCGAGTCTGTGCTGGTGATGCCGCATGAGCCGAGGCCGGGATTGTAGTAGGTCAAATCTCCCGAATAGGGACCACCATGGGAGGTGGGAAGAGGAAGATTTGAGTGGCTTAGCCTTGGTCAGTCGATACTCCTGATGAGATAGAATGCGAGTGATATGTGACACTCGTTACAAGCACTCACCCTTTCCCCCTGGTCAATCCCACAGCAAGGCCGATGATCAGAGCAAGGAGACAGACAACCGCGACTGCAATTGTGGTGACTATCAGGCGCTTCTTTTTCGAGAATTGTCGCCAGTTCCAGTTCGACCAAGCTGCTTTGGTGGGAGGTTGTACGCTAGATTCTTTCGGCGCAATGGCTGCTGGCTCGGGAGAAGTCTCTGCGACAGGGACGGGCTTCCGCTTTGCGACCCCCGCAAAAGGGAGATGCGAAGCATCCTGACACAAATGCGGGGGAAGTTTCTCCACGTCGGTAGACATGACGACGACGTCGACTGATGGTTTCATGAGTTCATTCAGGTCGGAAGACCATCATCGCGTGGAGGTGTGGTAGCCGGCTTCCTGTCTCTGGAGATCAAAATTAAGGGGTTAATGAACCAGAGACGCCAATTGATTGGCTGCATTTCTGTAGGATTAGAGCGATCATCACTGTAACTGAATATCTAGCAAGATATGCATCAGGAGAAAGTGACCATCATAGTGGGCTCAAAAAATTTTTATATTCACATTCACATTCCGATAAAAACGTCAAGATCATCTTGACTGACAGATCTCGTGGTTGCCAGTTGTCCCTCAGGAGTTCCCTTGCTTCCTGCTTGCATTCTCCGATCGGAGAATTCTCCACGATAAGGCTGGAAAGTACGGAGTAGTCTGGGCTGCAAAGTCCCAATTCATCATTACAGAAGAATATGATCAGAATAAGAACATCAAACAGATAGATACAACATGATAACATCATCTGTTTCCAACTTTCCAAGGAGAGAACTACTAAGCCACGAGTGCGACCCACAGAGCAGTATTTGTTCCTTGCATCATTGCCCGGATCCTACCATCACCCACTGACCAACGTCTTATCTAATTATCAAAAGATCATGTCTCTCAATCATCAGTCATCGAGGTGACAAAATACTTTGACGTTGATCAGCGTCTGAGAGGTACACAGTATATCGAAAAGAAAAGAAGGTTCTGACGAGGCCAAGCGATTCTCTGCAGAACCGCAGATCCGAGGCATTTGTGAAGCTACACGGCCCACTGTCGAAGGCCATCATCTAATTCCGCCCAGACTGTCGAGGACATCTCCCGCTCTGAGTTCCAACCAAAAACCTTAATCCGAGTCCCGTCACTTTTATAGGGATCTCTGCAAGAGTCGTGTAATTGTTATTCACGAATTGACCTCAGCTTGTCCTGCGTTTATTGGACGTATCCATTGATCACTTGAGCATGCCGATGATCGGCCCCAGTCTACTGAGAGAGTGAGACCTCGAGTTCTCTACTTCCGACGGTCCACTGATTGGGAAACGCGGGGTGCGACTGACCTCGTTGATCCTACCATGGCGTCGCGAGTCAGTTCGCGCCAGTCGGCAAGTTCCTCACAGTACTCACAGACTGATGAGCAAGACACGAAGAAACAGCAGGAGAAATGGAACCTTTTCCGCATGATCAAGAATGGATGGTCCAGGCTGGATCTGGATCGACAAACGGTCATCTTGATGATGAAGTGAGTAATTGTAATTGGCTCTACGTGTTGAAACTCACAAGGTGTTAGGGGTGCTCTACCACCTGCTATTGCCATAGCCATGTAAGAAATGCTCTCAGTCCCACACATTACATCGCTCTAACAACGAACAGGTTTCAAGCGGATTCTGTTGCGGCACGGTTCCCCACTACAGGTTATCTCATAGCGATCATCTCTGTTCTCGGATTTGCCATCATGCCACGGGCCAAATTCATCCAGATGATGATCTTGGATGTGCTGGCGGTCTGTATCGCAACGGCCTTTGCTCTACTTATGATGTTCTGCAGCGTGAAGGCACGACAGAATACACAGACTGCTGCGGACGCGGCGTCTATATCGAGTTCGGATCCGACAACCAACGAGTACAATTCATCCGCCTCTGCCGTGAGTGGCGTGCTGCTGTTTTTCCAGATATACCTGGTGCACTCGTTTCGCGCCCACTATCAACAGTTCCAATTTCCGGTGATCATCTATGCGATAATTGCCAATATCACCGCGTCATATGCCCCTCGGCTTCCCACCATGGCCGCCGGTATTGCATCGGTGAGGAACTTGCTCGAAGCATCTTTGATCGGGCTGGGAATCTGCACGGGTGTTTCCCTGTTCCTCTATCCTGTGACCTCAAGACATATTGTATTCAAAGAGATGGCAAGTTATATCGGAAGCCTTCGCGCAGGTCTCAAGGCTCATACAAAGTACTTTGAAAGTCTGGAGCGTGATGACATGTTTGGCCGGGCCGAGACATATGACGAGACAGTCGAGAAATATTCCAAGAAGGGCAAGGTTTATAGCCCAGAAGCAGAAGCTATTCGAACTGCGGCCCAGAAGCTTACGGACCTCCATGGCAAACTGCACGCGGACTTAACGTTCGCGAAGCGCGAGTTCGCCATTGGAAAGCTCGGTCCTGACGATCTCCAAGCCACCTTCAGACATTTACGCCAGGTGATGATTCCAGTTGTAGGTCTCGGCTTTATTGTGGACATTTTCCAGCGGCTGTCGGACTACAACAAATGGAATGAGCCCATTGACCCGCTCGCGACGGACATAGCTACCACCATCCGCAGCCGTGTTGTACACGAATGGAACGAAATTATGAAGGCTGTGCATGATCCCTTCGCCTCCATCATAGAAACTATCGACAGCGGCCTAGATCACATTTCTTTATCGTTGCAGCTGACAAAACCATCGAAAACATCGCTCGGAAAGAAAGACGCCCCGACGGACGGGGCCGCAGATCTAGAAGCGTCCGCAGAGAAGCCTCCGTCTCCAGGCGAAGCAGGGTTCGCAGCTTATTATGAGCGAAAGCTCAGCGACTTTAAGGTGGCAAAACGACTCGCTCTGAGGGCCTGGAGTGAGGAGAAGGGCATCACGTTACCCCCAGATTTCTTTGAGCGTCCTTCTTCTGACTTGCCCGATCTGGACGAATTCCTACTCGACAAATCCGGGGTCGGCCGCGATAGGAGCCGTCGACAACTCTATCTATTTCTCTATGTAGGTGCGAAAGCAACTCGAGCAATTTTCCTGCTAACTCCTTGAATTAGATGGAACAATTACTCTACTCGACAGGCCATACAGTACTGGATTTTATTCATTTCGCCGATGAGAAAGTCCAATCCGGAAAGCTGTCAAGATCACGCCTGATCATTCCTGGTGCCAAGCGCTTATTGAAGTGGTTACGTAGTATACTTCAGGCGGAGGATACTCATGAAGACGATCACTTGGGCGATATCCACACGCAGAACCATATTCTTCAGCTTGGTGAAGCGTACAGGCACAGGAAGGACCCAGAGCATTTGCCCCCTGAAACCATCATTCAGAAGATTGGCGACAAAATCAGGGTAATACCTTGGCTCCTGCGTTCATCAGAGTCAGCATACGGATTTCGAGTGGCTTGCGCTACTATGACTGTCTACATCGTTGGCCTACTTCATGAAACTCAGACCTTCTTCATCCACCAACGTCTGGTCTGGGCCATGATCATGATAAACATCAGCATGTCACCGACCGCGGGACAGAGCCTTTTCGGCTTTGTGCTTCGTCTGATTGGCACTGTGATAGCGATGGTTCTCAGCCTTTTAGCCTGGTATATTCCAGGCCAAAAGACACCAGGAGTGATTGTCTTCCTCTGGCTGTTTGTCGCCTGTGGGTTTTATGTCCCTATCAAGCATTTCCGCTTCCGAATCGTCGGGATTATCACCATCATCACCACTTCCATGATTATCGGTTATGAGCTTCAGGTGCGCAAGGTTGGGCAACAGGTTGCGACCTCTAACGGCCAGGCCTATTATCCCATTCATCTTCTTGCTCCCTATCGTCTTGCCATCGTGGCCGCAGGTATCGCGGTGGCATTTTTCTGGACGTTTTTCCCATTTCCAATCTCCGAGCATGGAGTTCTTCGCCAGAGCCTTGGAGCTTCGCTTTATCTACTGGCGAATTATTATTCTATTATCCACGAGACCGTGTCTGCACGTTTACGGGGCGACGAAGGTGACCTGGCTTTGAAAACATCAGCAGGGCGAAGACTGCAGAAAGCGCGAGGCAAAGTGTTCTCTAAGCAGATGTTGATGTTGAATGGCTTGCGAACATCTTCGGGATTTCTGAAGTGGGAGGTGCCCATCGGAGGTCGGTTTCCCAAGAAGCGCTACCAGGCTATCATACAATCGATCGAAAAGTATAGCCCCCATCTCACTTCATTGCCAGTGTCTCACCGCTAACATTCGATAGTATCGTTAATTATCTGAGTTTGCTAGGCTATGCCGCGGACACTCTTTTGCAGATGAGCGATGA